AAAACACGAGTGTTTCTAAATAAGTATTTTATTTGTTTGGACAGACTATGTATAGAGTAGGCATTGTTTCTGGCCATAAAAGCTGACATTATCACCATTGTCCATTAGGCTTCAATGCAGATTCTGGGGCATGCTCTTTCAGATTTCCAAAGACATACTGGTATTTTTCTTTTCCAAATGTAACAATTACTCAAACAAGCAACTACTGCCTATTTATATTGGTAATTAATGGAAAGTTGTTAGTTCTAATCTGCCAATGCAATTTTTTCAGGTAAGATTCCTGTTAAACCCTGACCTTCATGTGCCTGGTCAATACCAATGCTAGAAACACTGGAGAGGCTTTTGCTGGCATGGGCATCTTGAACATCAGTACATCATGAAAGACATCCACCATTCAATGAGTTTAGTGATTCCTAAAGAAACATATACTCATCTTAACCTCATATGTCAGGTTGCTTTCTGCGGCATAAATTGGGCTAAGACCAGATCTAGTCTACCAATGTACCTAATTCTATTAACAAGCTGATGTGATCAAAACCTATTACTATTAGTCTCAGGACATAAAAACAGACTACAAAGCTACCAAGGCTTAGCTCTTTCAACAAAAGCTTTTCTTAGGTAGATCTATTTGTCTAGATCTATTGTCATCATTCTATACTTATCAAATGGCCATTCTCATTTTATCCATACTCACACCCATTCCCCTTCCCTATTAAATCCTAGATATATGATTTCATCCATAATTTAAAAATTACTGAATGAATAAATCACTGTTACACTTCTTCTGTGAAGCCTTTCCTAACCCAGATGGAACTGATTTCTTCCCTTCTCAGAAGTGCTTATATTGGCTGATAGATACTTAATACTTAGCTATTCACATGGATATATTTTAGCACCTGTCTAAACTGTAAACATGAAGGAAATAACTGTATTTTTATAAATCTTTGAAACTTTTCACCATCGAACACGCCGTCTTGTAGAAAGCAGAAATATATGTAGTGACTGGTTGATTCATAAAAGGACCACATTAAATGAAAAAAAGAGTAGGCAAACTTTTGAGGTTGAATTTGATATCCACATCCAAGAAAATGCCAAATATAAATAACTCATAAAATCATGTATTTGGGATAGTTCCTAATTTCAAAGAGTTTATTTCCAAAGACAGTTATATGTTTCATGGTTATCTCTTTGCCTTTCTTCCCTCTTCCTCCCTCCCTCCTTAATTTTCATCTAAGATCTAAAATACAGATGATCATTAGGGAAAAAAGAGCAGAGAATGATGAACTCTTTGAACCAAGAATTGTGTCTTGTTCATTCTTTAATCCTATAGTACCTGACACATAGTAACTGCTTAAGATAAATTTATTTAATGAATATATGTTTTTGGTATTTTTACTACTACCTTCCACAATTTCTTCAGAGTCATCTACAAAAAATTCCTTTAAGGGGGGCCTTTTGGGTCGTTTCAGAGTGTTCAGAAGCTGCTGGATTTTTGTGGATACTCTGCTACTGACAGGAACACCTATAAGGGAAAAAATGGTAAGTTAAAATTTGTTGACTGTAAGGATATTTTAGTTCCTCAGTTCCCTCAGGAGCTTTCATTTCTAAGGCCATTTGGCCTTTGTCCACAGTTTCCTTCTCTTTCGAGGAGACCAAATATGCACACAATAAGTTTTATGACAATAGAGAACAAATATGGTACTATTATTAATACATGGCTTAAGGATTTCACCTAATCTTCCTTTTCTGTTATTCTTTTCTGTTATTCTTTTTTTTTTTTTTTTTTTTTGATAGAGTCTCACTCTGTCTCCCCAGGCTGGAGTGCAGTGGCATGATCTCTGCTCACTGCGAGCTCTGCCTAATTTTTTGTATTTTTAGTAGAGATGCGGTTTCACCACGTTAGCCAGGATGGTCTCGATCTCCTGACCTCACGATCCACCTGCCTCGGCCTCCCAAAGTGCTGGGATTACAGGCGTGAGCCACTGTGCCCGGCCCAATTAGTTTTTTCTTAAAAGTAACATGAATCTTCCTCTCTTTTTACATAAAACCACAGAAAAATGTTTTAAAAGATGTATGAGGCTTTGTTGTTGTTGTTGTTGTTAGGGTCTCACTCTGTTGCCCACACAAATGCAGTGGCAAGATCATGGCTCACTGCTGCCTTGAACTCCTGGGCTCAAGCAATCCTCCCACCTTAACCTCCCGAGCAGCTGGGACTACAGGTGCATGCCACCACACCCAGCTAATTTTTTTAAAAATTTGTTTGTAGAGATGGGGTCTCACTATGTTGCCCAGGCTAGTCTAAAACTCCTGGCTTCAAGTGATCCTCCCACCTCATGTCCCAAAGTGCTGGGATTACAGGTGTGAACCACTGCACCCAGTCCGTGTTTGAGGCATTTTGTAAAGAGGAGGAAAAATAAAAACAAAAAAAATCAAAGAGCAAATTTTGTTGCTATTTTCTTGTTGTCTAAAGATTCAAATATTTATTTCTGGAAAGACTAAGGTTTCTCTTTCTTTTTATTAGCACCTAAAGAGACTACTGACTGGCAGCTACAGGAAAGGACATGTGAATTTCCTTCAACCCAGGAATATGAGAATTGGGCTAACCTGGGTTGGAACCAAACCACTTTTATTTTTCCAAAAATAAGAGTTATATAAGTTTTCCTGTTGTATATTAAAACTCCAGAATATTAGAATATTAGCATATTAGAAAACAGTAAACACCACCTCCCTAAAACCAAAATGCCAATTACCCTGTCTCCAGGTTTTAACACAGGTTCATTTTTGGTCCCCAGTTTATTAAGAAGTGTGTAGGCCAACTTTAAACTTCTGCTCCACAACTTTCCTGAAAAAAAAGAAAAAAAAAAGTCTTACAGAAAAAAACAAAACAGGTCTACCTCAATGAAACAACATTCAGATCATCAGTATAGTCAATGAGACAATGGTCACTACCAAATGATGGGTTAGATGAGTATCATTCACCTCCCAACACACAGTAGGCCTCCCCACAAAAGCTTTATATTCATTCTAGTTTACAAAAGCCAGTCATGCCTTGAAACAGAAATAAAACATCACCAGATGCTCATCCTGGTTTACATAATATTTCAAATTCTTTTCTGAAATAATCTGCATATCCTTAGAAATAATTTGATGTAAACTCATCACACTGAAAGGGAGGAAAACAATATTTTTAATTACAAGACTGAAAATCAGAAGGCTACTTCTGTTCTAAGCTTTTTTTTTTTAAACAAACAAACAAAAAAAAAGACAGAGTCTCGCTCTGTTGCCCAGGCTGGAGTGCAGTGGTGTGATCTCGGCTCACTGCAACCTCTGTCTCCCGGGTTAGAGTAATTCTCGCTTCAGCCTCCCAAGTAGCTGGGACTACAGGTGCGTGTCACCACATTTGGCTCATTTTTGTATTTTCAATAGAGACAGGGTTTTGCCATGTTGTCTGGGCTGGTCTCAAATTCCTGGCCTCAGGTGATCCACCTGTCTCAGCCTCCCAAAGTGTTGGGATTACAGGCATGAGCCACCGTGCCCGGCCAGCTTTTTAAAAAATTTACAAATATCTTCAGAAATGTTCTAAACTTTTTCTGAAAAACCATTCACATAGGTGGTATCAGACACTTGAGGAAACTGCAAAGCAAAAGCATGACTCAAATGATTGAACATTCCATAATGCTGTAATTTAGTGAAAACAAACACTAAAATGGAAATTATCTGTATGAACATGTGGCTGTATTCATAGATGTTAAACAAACATACAAAGATTTGGCCAGCTGAACGCTTTCTTTAAGGGTTATATGAATGAAATGTATATATAGCTTCTGAGGTGAATGTTAAAACAATTTTGGCAAAAACAAAAAATGCTTTTCTTTTCCTATTCCCTCCCCTCCACTACCCTTAGAAATTCTTATTTGAGATTATGAGATAAGCAAAAGGAAAATTATGTTATTTTAAATAGCTATGTTATTTTATATACAATTTATTCAGAGGGGCATCCAAAGTTTAAACTATGTCAACCTGTGTAATTCTTTAAATAAAACCTTGTTTTTCCTCAAAGATTATTTTCTATCTAGGTCTATGGACACTGTGCTCCACTTGCAAAGGAGAAAAGGAATCTGTTTGAATAAACTAGTACAAAATCTCGTAGCCCAGGGTTGACCCCATTTTTCCTTGAAGTTATTTTAAAAAGAAAAATTTTAGCTGGTATGCAAAATTAAATGGAAAAGTACTCATTCTTTGTTCATTACAGAATTTTGTGCCTATTATAATCAAGAAGCAGGATAGAATAAAGATTTAACAAGTAATCAGTTTCAATTGTTAGATAAAACCATCTGATTTTCACCATACATCATTAATACTGACCAAATGTTTTTCTAAAATCCTCTTGTAATGTTAAAACATCTATGGATGTGCAAAGTCTCTCTTCTTTTTGCTGCCTTTTAAATATTAGCTGACTTGCAAATATCGCTTTAGCAAATGAAAATATTTGGCAATAGCTTTACTTAGAACTTAGGATCCTTTTAAATTATTGAAAAAAATCTACTGAAACATAATGGCCAGCAACTGCTAAGTATCTAGATAAAAACGCTACCCGTGATATTCTGAAGAACTCTCGGAGAGAAGGATCTGGAATCTTGCAGACTCACCATATGTAAGAGTGTAAACTGGTTTCCCTGTCATGTCCAGTGCAGTCAGACAGGAGCATTTTGCTTGAGTGGTACCCCAGCGCTGCAGGGCAGATTCAAGAGCAGGAGGCCAGTTACAGATGACTCCTAAAGGCTCTCCTTTCACAGGGGTCATCTGCCGTCCCTCCGGCTTGGGCTGGTTGGGGTCTGGCTGAGGTACTGCACCAGGAAAAGACCAGTGGGTGAAATGAGTACAAATACCAGTGAACACAACTTAGGTCTCTAATCTCAACTGCATCTTCCTTTTCATTTCATATTTATCTGGTTTAAACTCACTTTGAGAAAGGACATGGTTAGAAATGGTGGTCCACAAACTGGGCCTTAATTCAATTTTCCACTTAAATGTGAAATCATATTCAATATATTCTATGCAATGAACAAATTCTGACCCTGACAAAGGAAATCACTGCATATATAGAATAGCACAAAATATACATTTTTTGTAGCAATTTCACAATTTTTGGCAAATTTGTTTTTAAATCTTTACAGTTTGTGTCCAGTGTGAGACAGCCAGGTTCTACTATACCAGATTATGTTTAATGAGAAAGCATTACACTGTGAGTCAGAAAGCCCAAGTTTACATTGACTTTTTACTAGCATTACCCTAGGCAAATTGATTTACCTGAGCTTGGCTTTCCTCATCTGTAAAATGGAGATAGTAACAGTTATACCTCAGGGTCATTACTTCACTCCAACAGGTAATGGGCATAAACCACAATATCCCATGTCTCCACACCTCTGCACTCATCTCGTATGGCCAATCCCTTTGCCTCCTGGTGAACTCTTCCTCATCATTTTCAGGACTCAGCTGAAACAGCACATTCTCTGGGAACAATTCCCAACTACTCCCTGAGGAGACTATTGCTTCCTTAGTGCTCCCACGTTGCCCTTAGGAAAGCACTGAGGATCCTCAAGGACTCCTTTTAGTGTACAAGTTTTCCCCCACAAAGGCTGATTGCTTCTTGAGGAAAGGGGTGGCTCTTACTCCCCTTACTGCCTATAGTGTCTAATACTTCAAGGTTGTTCAATAATGTCAGCTGAATTGAATTTGGGTGTGTGTTTAGGGGGAGCTAATTATTAACATGCTTATTCCAGAGATTGGGCGTGAATATTTCATATCCTTTTACAGATAAAACAAAAATCCTCTTAATTTTTCTAAAATGAACAAGCATTATTCAAACAATAAAAATCAAAAAAAGAATCCTACATTTTGTTTTCTCCCCGAGACGGAGTCTTGTTCTGTCGCCCACGCTGGAGTGCAGAGGAGCAATCTCGGCTCACTGCAACCTCTGCCTCCTGGGTTCAAGCAATTCTCCTGCCTCAGTCTCCCAAGTAGCTGGGATTATAAGTGCCCACCACCACGCCTGGCTAATTTTTGTATTTTTAGCAGACGGGGTTTCACCATGTTGGCCAGGCTGGTCTTGAACTCCTGACCTTAGGTGATCCACTCGCCTCGGCCTCCCAGAGTGCTGGGATTACAGGTGTGAGTCACTGCGCCCGGTCAAATCCTGCATTTTCGTAGCAGGAAAGATAATTTACACATGCAACAAAAAGTCAAGTATTTACTGAGTGCCAATTATGTTCACAGGATATGATAAACATTGAGAAAATAAATGCTGCACACATAATTCTTTGAACAAACATTATGCCTAGTAAGTGCCTGGTGTAAGGAATATGGAATCTGAGTTCTTGTGGAGTATCTAGAGTGCACCAGGGGACACAAACACACACAGACTCAGTGCTAAGGCTAGGAAAACATGAGCAGTGCGTGACAGACGCATGGACAAGGAGGGCAGAAGTGGGGCACGTCTCCACCTGGAGGAGGAAATGTCTGAGCTGAGTCTTAAAGGATGAGCAGGAATTAGCCAGGTGAACAAGAGAGGAGAAAAGAGGCACGAAAGGGAGAAGGGACAGAATGAGCAACAAATCTTAGATGGGCAAATGAAATATGAAATAAATGATATTTTATATAGCTCAATGACAAATCTGGGGATTGTACTTAAGATGCCTTGATTCATTTTTCTACTAACATAAAATTCATGAAATAGTTTCACTCCCCAATTTGCTGCCTTAGGGTAAATAATAAATGTTTCAACTGTCCTTCTGCTTTGTATATTCCCAGACCCTAAACCACCAGATTAACTAAAAAAATAAAAACACGAGTGTTTCTAAATAAGTATTTTATTTGTTTGGACAGACTATGTATAGAGTAGGCATTGTTTCTGGCCATAAAAGCTGACATTATCACCATTGTCCATTAGGCTTCAATGCAGATTCTGGGGCATGCTCTTTCAGATTTCCAAAGACATACTGGTATTTTTCTTTTCCAAATGTAACAATTACTCAAACAAGCAACTACTGCCTATTTATATTGGTAATTAATGGAAAGTTGTTAGTTCTAATCTGCCAATGCAATTTTTTCAGGTAAGATTCCTGTTAAACCCTGACCTTCATGTGCCTGGTCAATACCAATGCTAGAAACACTGGAGAGGCTTTTGCTGGCATGGGCATCTTGAACATCAGTACATCATGAAAGACATCCACCATTCAATGAGTTTAGTGATTCCTAAAGAAACATATACTCATCTTAACCTCATATGTCAGGTTGCTTTCTGCGGCATAAATTGGGCTAAGACCAGATCTAGTCTACCAATGTACCTAATTCTATTAACAAGCTGATGTGATCAAAACCTATTACTATTAGTCTCAGGACATAAAAACAGACTACAAAGCTACCAAGGCTTAGCTCTTTCAACAAAAGCTTTTCTTAGGTAGATCTATTTGTCTAGATCTATTGTCATCATTCTATACTTATCAAATGGCCATTCTCATTTTATCCATACTCACACCCATTCCCCTTCCCTATTAAATCCTAGATATATGATTTCATCCATAATTTAAAAATTACTGAATGAATAAATCACTGTTACACTTCTTCTGTGAAGCCTTTCCTAACCCAGATGGAACTGATTTCTTCCCTTCTCAGAAGTGCTTATATTGGCTGATAGATACTTAATACTTAGCTATTCACATGGATATATTTTAGCACCTGTCTAAACTGTAAACATGAAGGAAATAACTGTATTTTTATAAATCTTTGAAACTTTTCACCATCGAATACGCCGTCTTGTAGAAAGCAGAAATATATGTAGTGACTGGTTGATTCATAAAAGGACCACATTAAATGAAAAAAAGAGTAGGCAAACTTTTGAGGTTGAATTTGATATCCACATCCAAGAAAATGCCAAATATAAATAACTCATAAAATCATGTATTTGGGATAGTTCCTAATTTCAAAGAGTTTATTTCCAAAGACAGTTATATGTTTCATGGTTATCTCTTTGCCTTTCTTCCCTCTTCCTCCCTCCCTCCTTAATTTTCATCTAAGATCTAAAATACAGATGATCATTAGGGAAAAAAGAGCAGAGAATGATGAACTCTTTGAACCAAGAATTGTGTCTTGTTCATTCTTTAATCCTATAGTACCTGACACATAGTAACTGCTTAAGATAAATTTATTTAATGAATATATGTTTTTGGTATTTTTACTACTACCTTCCACAATTTCTTCAGAGTCATCTACAAAAAATTCCTTTAAGGGGGGCCTTTTGGGTCGTTTCAGAGTGTTCAGAAGCTGCTGGATTTTTGTGGATACTCTGCTACTGACAGGAACACCTATAAGGGAAAAAATGGTAAGTTAAAATTTGTTGACTGTAAGGATATTTTAGTTCCTCAGTTCCCTCAGGAGCTTTCATTTCTAAGGCCATTTGGCCTTTGTCCACAGTTTCCTTCTCTTTCGAGGAGACCAAATATGCACACAATAAGTTTTATGACAATAGAGAACAAATATGGTACTATTATTAATACATGGCTTAAGGATTTCACCTAATCTTCCTTTTCTGTTATTCTTTTCTGTTATTCTTTTTTTTTTTTTTTTTTTTTGATAGAGTCTCACTCTGTCTCCCCAGGCTGGAGTGCAGTGGCATGATCTCTGCTCACTGCGAGCTCTGCCTAATTTTTTGTATTTTTAGTAGAGATGCGGTTTCACCACGTTAGCCAGGATGGTCTCGATCTCCTGACCTCACGATCCACCTGCCTCGGCCTCCCAAAGTGCTGGGATTACAGGCGTAAGCCACTGCACCCGGCCCTCTGTTATTCTTTTCTTTTTCCACATTCAGGTTTTTGTTCAAAGTATCTTCTGGAAGTATCCACTAAGTTCTATTAAGTGGCAATACTGCCACTGTGCAGATGATGGAAAAAAGGTACCCAGCATTAGTTATTAGTGGGCCAAGTACAGTGTAGTTCTGCAACTGCTGGGCTAGTTAGGAGCTATTGTTCATAATTTGAATTTTTCTAGTTTAGTTTACACTACAATTGAGCTACCAAAAACAACTCCTTACCGTCAGCTGTATCCATAAGGCTGGACCTGTTGGATCCTTTGTGCATGCCTTTAACTATCCCCGAGGGGGGCAGGTCAATGTTTGCTGGGCGAATTGAGGAAGATGAGGAGGAGGAAGAGGTAGTTGTAGTGACATCAGGAGGAGCAGAGAAATTCTCTGAGAGGAGTAAACAAAATTTAGACTTATATTAGCAGCAAAACTAAGAACCTTTAACTCTTTGGGGTTTTGTTTTTTAACAAGGAAGAAAAGTACATAAATGGGGGTACTGGCTCTTGTAAAACAACCTTTAAAAATCAGATTCTACTAGCAAGACACAAAGGGAGAACAATAAGTAAAGTCAGAGTATATCAGCTTTACAAAATTATTATTTTGTAAGACTTGAGTAGCCTTAGTAAGATCAAATCACACATTCAGTGTTTCTCAAAACATCATTTTCTACACAGAAAGGCTGGTAGAAATCCAGTGTTATAGAATAATCATAATAAAACTTGCAGGGACCTCAAAATGGAACCAAATAAGATCATAACTGGCTACTAATATTGTAGTCTCTTGAACATTTCTTGATGATAGTTTATCTAGAATGTTTCCCCTTCTACCAAAGACCAAACTCGTATCTTGAAAGTGGGTCAGACTGCACAAGTTTCCAGATGAAAAAAAAACCTAGATAAAGTTCACTTTTAACTTTTATACAATAATCCATAGGTAATTTGGATCTCCTTGACAGACAAGGTTCTTCCCTTGCTCCAAGTAGAGACTAAATAGTGTTATTCTACTCTACTGCACATAGGGATTCTTTTTATTTTTGAGACAGGGTCTCTCGCTGTTGCCCAGCCAGGAATGCAGTGGTGCAATCACAGCTCACTACAGCCTCAACCTCCTGGGCTCAAGTGAGCCTCCCACCTCAGCCTCCCAAGTATGGGGACCACAGGTTCACACCACCACACCCAGCTAATACTTGTATTTTTAGTAGAGATGGAGTCTTGCCATGCTGCCGAGGCTGGTCTCGAACTCCTGGGCTCAAGCGATCCTCCCACCAATGCCTCCCAAAGTGCTGGGATTACAGGCATGTGCCACCACACCAGGTCTCAAGATTCTTAATATGGAGAAACTGAATGAGTAAACTGGAAAAGATCCCTGTGCAACAGGGGCATGTAACAACAACAAAAAACACCACATAGTTTTTAGTGGCTTTTTGTGATGCTTGTAAGTCATATATTTTCCTCCCTCTAATTTCCTTCTTCTTACTTCTCCAGATGTTTTCTTCTAAGTTTTTTGTAAAACTAAAAAACGAAAAAAGCATAATACAAACAATTTCTAAAATAGATTTGGGGGTAAGGTCTCTATGCCCCTTAAGTCTATAATTACTAGTCGAATAGTCTTTAAAGTTTTAAGTATACTAACATATATTCTAGTATACCTTTCTGTAGGATAATGTGGTAACAAAAAGCATTAAAACAGACATTTTTATTTGGTCCAGCAATTCAAACTTATAGGAATACAACCTAAGGAAATAATCAGACAAATGCACAAAGTTGTGTGTTCCAGCATGTTCAATCCAACAGTTTTTATAATAGCAAAAAATTGGATACTATTTAATAGAGGAACAGCCAAATAAACCAGGGCAGACAGTCACACAATAGTGTATACTGAAACCATAAAAATAATAGTGTAATGGTAATGATATAAAAGATGTTCATCACATACTGCTAAGAAAAGCAGGCTATTAACATTATGTTTAGGACAGTTCATTTTTGTAAAGTCAAAACCAAAATCTTACATATGTAAGTAAAATCTAGAAGAATATACACTACAGTAACAACACTAAAGTATTACCCATGGGAGGTAGGATTATAGTTATTTTACTTTTCTTTTACTTATATTTTTGAATTTTTCTATTAGGAACATTAATTACTACTGTTAAGACAAACATCCAAAAAGCAATAATGTGGATAAAATGGTTTCTGTGAGTAACTGAACCAATCACTTTTCACAGAGTAGTAGAAGCAATTAAAAATATAAGGTTGGATGAAACCTCTTGTTAACAAAAATTCAGGTAAAAGTTAACTGGGTATTAGGATAATATATTTAACAAGTAATAATGGTCTTTTTTAGACAGATGTGGAAATAAAACCTCAGTAACCATGGCTCTGTTGCTCCACGACTGGAGAGGTGGTGAATACGCAAATCTTTGTAGCTGCTTCAGGAAGCTCAGGAAATGGCAGGGCAGGGCAGGGCAGGGCAGAGCTAAGCGTGCAGGACAAGTCATCAGCTGTTGGCATGTGGGTTTCTAAGGAGGGCAATCATACCCTCAAGGTAGCTATTTCTTTAAAAATTATAGTCTTGAATTGAAATTTTTCCAAGTCTTTCTTTTTTTAGAAATCAGTTAACAGAATAAAGATATATTAGGTGATACAGACAGGTCACTAAGATGAAAATTAAGACACCAAACTGCACTGATTGCCGAGAAAAAAAGGGAAAGATATCACAAACACATAATGTTAACACATATTACTTGATGTAATTTGTAACAACCAATTAAGCAGAAACAGATCTGAGCTGTACCTTTATCTGCAGATGTCACAACTCTTTAAAAAACACACACACACAAAACATAAAGCAGGAGCAAGCAAAAGCTACACTCTATACAGTAGCATCTGCAGTGTATCGATAGCAGCTCACAGGGTACCAATATCCTCAGCCTGCACACTTCAGTGTAGCAATATCACAGCAGCAAGGACAACAAATCCAGTCAAGACAAAAGGCCTCACTGATATTGGTTCAGCATAGATTTTGCTCAGGTTTAGGGTTTTTGGTTTAACAGAATATAGATAACAATCCTGGGAAAAACCTAAGATGTTACATATTTTAACCTTTGAATAGATTGAATATTGTTCAGCTGGGATAATTCCACACTGAGACTGGTGTTATATCTTGCAGCTTGAGTATTGCTTATGGAAATAGCTATGGCTTCAGGTGGGCAAAACTACGCACCAATAATGCAGGTGATACCTATTATTCCTGTGACAAATGTATTGCTGGTGTTTCCTTCTTTGCCTCATTAACTGTCATGTTCTCTCTAATTCTTTTTTTTAGGCCATACTGAAAAACCTAACACAAACCATAAACTATTTCCTGGATACTGGGAGCCAAATGGAATGTAATTTAGACTTCTTGGGTAGATCCAGCTCCTACCTATTCGAGTATTGGCAAATACATCAGCTAGAGACCCACTGGTTCCTTTGACCTCTCCGTGGGACAGCGTAGAAGACGCGGATGAAGAAGTGGACGATCCCTGAATTGAACGGTTGATCCAGGACTCAGCATTCTGTAAGCTCTGTTGCAAGGCAGCAGAGAGCGCAGCTTGGCGTCTCAGAGAGCCCTCATCCTCAGAGGCCGAAGATGTGTCTGTGTGGAATTAGAAAAAAAGAAGTTCTCGATCCTACCTAGAACAGAGACTTTTCAGTTTTTGCTCATTGGTCACACATTCAGTTTCGACACCAGCAAAATATTCTCATTCTTAAGGTAGATTAATATGTAAAGTTTCTCAGGAATCTCAAGGAAACGTCTATGGACCAAAGCCTACAAAAATAAAATAGCCTAACCCCACAGGTAATTTTTAATTGTTTTCTTTTAAACTCTTTCAAAACATTTAAACTTCATTCCCTGCTTTTCTGCTGTAAGCTTAATCAGTATCTAAATTTTTCTAGTCCATCTACTTATGATCAAATAATACTGAAGTACTTATATGTCTTCCTGAATCTCTACTTGTGATATGATGCTACATTGATTTTGACAAAGTATTTATTCGTCTCTAAGGAAATGATCTTGACAGAGAGACATAAAAACTTAATTCTTGCTAAAAATGTATGTCTCAGGTTGGGCATGGTGGCTCATGCCTGTAATCCCAGCACTTTGGGAGGCTGAGGCAGGCAGATCACCTGAGGTCAGGAGTTCGAGACCAGCCTGGCCAACAAGGTGAAACCCCATCTCTATTAAAAATACAAAAAATTAGCCAGGCACAGTGGTGAGTGCCTGTAATCCCAGCTACTTGGGAGGCTGAAGCAGGAGAATTGTTTGAACCTCGGAGGCAGAGGTTTCGGTGAGCCACGATTGCACCACTGCACCCTAGCCTAGGCAACAGAGCGAGATGCCATCTCAAAAACAAAAAACAAAAAACAAAAAACATATGTGCCAAACAGTGAGCTAGGTGCTGGGGAATGAAGTGGTGTAAACAATCCTTAGCCTGGAGGTATTCATGGCCTTAGTAGAAAAGGCAGCCAGTCAGGGGGCATAGGTAAGCTTTCCATGCATGACAGGAAAAGGCACAGCATCAGGATTTCTTTCCTTAATTTTCAGCTGGAGAAGAATTGTGAGAAATCCACCGATGTCTGTATTCAGTTTGGCTCTGACTTCAGGAAAATAGGCCTAAATTAGAAAAGCGTGCGGGGGGGTGGGAAACTCAACCAAATACAGGGAAGCAAAAGCCAGGGAAAACAGAAGTCAGGAATTTATTCCAGGGTTGTAAGCTTATGAAGCACACAGTTAAAGAGGGCATTTGGTCTAATGTGAGATAAATCTTTCTAAATGATTTCTGGGTGTTATGATTTACAATTTGTGGATTGAATTTCATTCAGTTTTTAAAAATTAAACATTCTGTGGTTAGTACTGCAGAATCCTTTCCTCTAACTCAGGTGGCACCATAGGTTCATGTTCTGCTTTGGTTCAAAGAGCCAAACACATAACTAATGGGGCTGGAAAACTGCTGACACCTCACAATGAGAACCTGAACCACAAAAAACTCATCTAATCCAGAAGTCAAATTCTGCAGGCCCAGAGCAAGAGAGAAAGTTAAAATAATGGGCTGGATGCAGTGGCTCAGGCCTGTAATCCCAGTACTTTGGGAGGCCGAGGTGGATGGATCACTTGAGGTCAGGAGTTCAAGACCAGCCTGGCCAACATGGTGAAACCCCCATCTTTACTAAAAATACAAAAATTAGCCGGGCATGGTGGTGTGCACCTGTAATCCCAGCTACTCGGGAGGCTGAAGCACACGAGAATCACTTGAGCCCAGGAGGCAGAGGTTGCAGTGAGTAGAGATAGCACCACTGCCCTACAGCCTGGGAGGCAGAGTGAGACTCCATCTCAAAAACAAAAAAAACCCAGAGAATTATATAATGACTATGCCCTCGCTTCTTGTTCTGTACTACTTCCAACTTATTATTTCATATTGAGGGAGGTCTGAGGCCTGAGACGGATTGTTTTTGCTTTTTAAAAAGTACTAATCACAATATGTGCCAGGAACTATGTCAAGTCCTGGGGGTTTGAAGTGTATGAGTGCTTATGACACAGTAAGTGCCCTAAAAAGGCTTATAGGAGACACAGAAGCCCACAGATAATTTCCAAAGATAAAACAGATGCTAAGAAATGGGAGTTATCAAAGCATTTCACAGGATGGGGACCAACCTGAGTCAGGGATTTCAAGTACTTCTTTGTACATAGACCAAAGACTTTAAAGAGTAAGGCAAAAAAATGAGGGTGGAGAGATAAACAGTGACCAGATCCCAAAGAGATAAAGTGATGAGGTCCATAAAGAAGAATGAGATCTAACATGTAAAAGGGGGGTGATTAAAAGAAAATTTCAAGAAAAAAAGAAATAATCGTATCTGTAACCCTTTAAGGAAAAGCATTTTGTGTAATTTGCAGAAAATATTCTAACATTTCAACTGTACCCCGGGAGGCAAATGTTCCTGTCTCAGCAAACATGTTAAAAAAAAAAAAGGGAGGAAGTCGGGATAGGGCCCACAGGACAGGTGAATTTGACCTTAAGAATAAAGTATTTTCAAGGTAACTTATCTCAAGATTCCACAATCTCCATTGGATTTGCAGGCTGCTTTTACTGTATCATGTATTTTAATTTGTTTAAGTTTAAAATCAGAATAACCCAATTTTCAAAAGACAGTAAAACCAGTATTTTCATGATTAGGTTTATGTAAAATTGGTTTCATTATGTTTTTTTTAAAATTTTTTAATTTTTAAATTTTTTTGAGAGGGAGTCTTACTCTGTTGCCCAGGCTGGAGTGCAGTGGCATGATCTCGGCTCACTGCAAGCTCTGCCTCCTGGGTTCACACCATTCTCCTGCCTCAGCCTCCCAAGTAGCTGGGGCTACAGGTGCCCGCCACCACACCTGGCTAATCTTTTCTATTTTTAGTAGAGACGAGGTTTCACCGTGTTAGCCAGGATGATCTCAATCTCCTGACCTCGTGATCCGCCCACCTCGGCCTTCCAAAGTGCTGGGATTACAGGCATGAGCCACTGCACCCGGCCTTCATTATGTTTCTATATTGGATCAATCATGCAATTAGGTATATTGTTTCAATTCAATTACCCTGTTTGTCTGCTAGTCCTCAGTGTTTAATGACTTACAACTATGGGGCAGCTTAGCATAGTGGAAAAAACATGGCTTTGGTATCAGTCTTCCATTCAAAGTCTGGGATGCACCTCTTACTAGCTATGTGACTTGGGGATAAAATTACCCATCTGAGAAGACTGTTTGCTTATTTGTCCATTTGACAAACACACTAAGCACTACATCAGTTGGTAGGAATAAAAAGTTGGGCAAGAAGACATGGTCCCTACTCTTACGGGACTGAGATGAGTTAGAGGAATCAAGGCAGCCACCCAAGGAAGTAAGACCTAACCCAAGGCCTAATGGGTAAGTAGGAATTAGTTATGAAAGGTAGGGAAAGTACAGGGTCAGGTAGAGGGGGCTGCACGTGAGAAAGCTTAGAAGGGACAGAAAACTTTTTGAAGATATTAAAGAAACAGAGACTAGCCAGAGCACAGGATGCAAGACTGATAGTCATGGTGATGAGACCGGACAAGTAAGGCAGCACTGGGCCACCAAGGGCCTTATAAGACAAGCTAAGGAAACTTGCCTTTTTCCTAACCGTAGCTGGGAGACCATGAACAAAGACACTGTACAGAAAGCATACATAGTAGTGCCAGCCCATAGCACCTGGCCAATAAACATTAATGCCCCTTCTAATCCCCAGGAGAATGGTTAAAAGGAGTGTGTATTTCTTTTTGATTTGGAACAACCTGAAATTCTTCCTACGAGTAATTTAAATGGCTAATTTCTTCCTACAAACATGAAAGGAAAGATGGCAGAAACTGACTAACAGTTGGTAGAAGAAAATAATACCAAATCACGCCACCTGAGAAATGAGGTGCTTACTATGACTAAGTCACCGTATGGCCACAGAGAAGAAACTAGCTGGGTAAAGTTAAAAGATGATCATGTGGTGAAGCCTACATAAAATGTAGCACTGCTCTGAGATTGTATCTTTTTAAAAATCAAAACAAGTTCCCTTAAATATTTTAAAAGCAATTTGTCACCCAGGAAATTGTTATGAATTTGTAGAAATCTGGGCAAAATTAAATTAATAGAAATTTATCATTTTCTTACTGATTGTGCTCTGATTAAAAATAAACTCATGACTGGTATCACTTATAAATAAAACATCTCCCCTAAGCTCTTATATATAACGAATACACAATAGAAAACACCTCTGAAAACATAGTTTGCCTTTCAGTTTATAATCTGCTGTGATTTTAACAAGGCACCATTGAATACTGGTCACCAGAAGCCTACAATCCATTTATAACCAATTAGTAAACATATAAACAATTAGCATGTTGGCCAGGCGCACTGGCTCACACCTGCAATCCCAAGCAGTTTGGGAGGTTGAGGTGGATGATTCCTTGAGCTCAGGAGTTTGAGACCAGCCTGGGCAACACGACAAAACCCTGTCTCTACAAAAAATACAAAACTTAGCTAAGTATGGTGGCGTGTGCCTGTAGTCTCAGTTACTTGAGAGGGTGGCCTGAGCCCAGGAAGCAGAAGTTGTACTGAGCCACAATTGTGCCACTGCACTCCAGTCTGGGCAACAGAGCCAGACCCTGTCTCAATCAATCAATCAGTCAATAAACAAAAACATTTAGCTTGCTGATTTTAAGGGAAGAAAAGTGCTAAATTTGCTAAGTACTTTTTTTTTTTTTTTTTTTTTTGAGACAAGGTCTT